AGCACTGTGGATAAGGCAGTACTGAGGATAACGCAGCACTGTGGATAAGGCAGCACTGAGGATAACGCAGCACTGGATAAGGCAGCACTGTGGATAAGGCAGCACTGTGGATAACGCAGCACTGTGGATAAGGCAGCATTATGGATAAGGCAGCACTGTGGATAACGCAGCACTGTGGATAACGCAGCACTGTGGATAACGCAGCACTGTAGATAACGCAGCACTGTGGATAAGGCAGCACTGTGGATAACGCAGCACTGTGGATAAGGCAGCACTGAGGATAACGCAGCACTGTGGATAAGGCAGCACTGAGGATAACGCAGCACTGGATAAGGCAGCACTGTGGATAAGGCAGCACTGTGGATAACGCAGCACTGTGGATAAGGCAGCATTATGGATAAGGCAGCACTGTGGATAACGCAGCACTGTGGATAACGCAGCACTGTGGATAACGCAGCACTGTGGATAACGCAGCATTATGGATAAGGCAGCACTGTGGATAAGGCAGCACTGAGGATGTAACACCATAAAAGTGTTTAGTTACATTTTATTTTACATACAACGAGAGTCAGCCAGACAGGATATTGAAAGGCGCCAAGTTTTCTGACCTTAGCAATTAAAAAGTCACACCTCTAGTGTGTTAATTACGACAGGTCAGGTTGTGTGAACTGACCTTGCCTTCCACTAAGCCGATAATTGCAGACGGGTGGCTGGGTTGTGCTCATCAAACAAGCCGCTGTTTATGGTGTGGTAGGTGGAGATCCTAAGGCTTTCTACTTATTAGGTGGAGCTTAAATCCCAGTTCCCCATACATTCCCAGGGAACTGTACATTCGAGATCAGAGACAGACAGACACAGAGGAGAGTAGAACATCAGTGGAGACCACTGATCTTGAGTCCCACAGACCAGGCCGTCAGGTCGAGTGGGGACTATCAACCGTAATACCCCCCCCCCCCACCTTTTCTGTCCAACTTAAGTGTCAGTCTTTGGTTAGTTGAACTTAAGGTGACTTATTTCGTGTTTTCCAACTTAAGGTGTTGTGTGACTATCAGGGTCAGTCAGCCGTAGTGTCCTCAATGTCTTGTGTGGTCACTCACCTTCTTTATTTATCTTGACATAGTGAATATGAAGTTTAACTGTTTGAATTGATACTTTTAATACTAAATATATATAACTGATGAACTTGTTGGTAAAGTTGACTTTATTTTTTTTAGATCTTTGTCAGTTGAGGCGAGAGTAGAGAACCCTCTGAGGTTACTAGTTAAGATTGTAATGTACAAGTACATGCTAACATGAGAGAATATTATAGTACAGCCAGGTTCCATTCCTTGTCTTGTAGGTACTAAACATGAATGGATGTGACAGCTAAATTTTCATTCTTCTACTTTCTACAATTTCTACTACTCTACTATTCGAGCAAACGCCCTTACTTCAGCCCTTCTACTTTCCTTGATCCCATTCTCTCCCTCTCATCCTAACTTTCCCTTTTCCCCTGACTCACGATCCTCACACCTCCCTTCCACCTCTCTTACTCCCTCATCCCATTTCTTTCCTTTTCAGTTTCTTTTTTATTTTCTCTTTTGTCCGATACGTTACAAGGATATGGTAGCACTGTGGATAAAGCAGCCCTATAGATACAGCAGCACTGTGGATAAAGCAGCCCTATAGATACAGCAGCACTGTGGATAAAGCAGCCCTATAGATACAGCAGCACTGTGGATAAAGCAGCCCTATAGATACAGCAGCACTGTGGATAAAGCAGCACTGTGGATAAAGCAGCCCTATAGATACAGCAGCACTGTGGATAAAGCAGCCCTATAGATACAGCAGCACTGTGGATAAAGCAGCACTGTGGATAAAACAGCCCTATAGATACAGCAGCACTGTGGATAAAGCAGCCCTATAGATACAGCAGCACTGTGGATAAAGCAGCCCTATAGATACAGCAGCACTGTGGATAAATCAGCCCTATAGATACAGCAGCACTGTGGATAAATCAGCCCTATAGATACAGCAGCACTGTGGATAAAGCAGCCCTATAGATACAGCAGCACTGTGGATAAAGCAGCCCTATAGATACAGCAGCACTGTGGATAAAGCAGCCCTATAGATACAGCAGCACTGTGGATAAAGCAGCCCTATAGATACAGCAGCACTGTGGATAAAGCAGCCCTATAGATACAGCAGCACTGTGGATAAAGCAGCACTGTGGGTAAAGCACCACTGTGGATAAAGCATCACTGTGGATAAAGCAGCACTGTGGGTAAAGCAGCACTGTGGATAAAGCATCACTGTGGATAAAGCAGCACTGTGAATAAAGCAGCACTGTGGATAGAGGAGCACTCTAGATAAAACAGCGCCGTGGTTAAAGCAGCAAAAGATAAAGCAGCACTGTGGATAATGTTACGGTTACCGTCGGTTTAACAAGTTTCTTCCGCCTATCAAGTTTCTTCTCTCGTATGTACATGTATAACTTGGCCCTACGTTTATTTTCACAACGTTTGAGAGGCGACAGGAAGCCTAAAATTTGAATTTATTTCGTTTATTTCGTAAATTTATGCAGGGGGAGAGGAGCCTAGGCTTTGATCCAAAATGGCGGGCGTCAAGCCCTGAAGCATAGAGAATTTGCGCCAAGATTTAGGAGAGGCGACGATACTGGGTTTCCCGGATGTAGAAGAGTGAGATGATTGGCTGCTTAGAAACATGATTGACCAATTAGAGAGTGTCTTGGTGCCACCTGGCGGGCGTCCGGCACATTAGTAGTGCTTCTCTTCCCGGCAAGGTTTCACTGCGTGACAGTCACTCGTACTGGGAGAACATAATACGTTAGTTCCGAAAGGACAGGGAATTTAACGTGCGCGTCGAGTGTAGAAGTTAAGAGACGATACACGTAGCAACCCAGAGCATTTCTTTCGAAGAGAGAGGGAAGCGGATTCTTCAAATTGCAAGTCAAAAGCTCGTTAGCGGTCCAGGTCCGCCAGTTCAAACGTAACATTTGGAGAGGAAGATCCACTGTGGGGAAGGGGGGAGGTCTCCGAAGCCTCCTGTAACCGTACGGTGTTTCTAGGCCAGCAATGGCAAGTGAGAGCCAGTCCTGGCTAGTGAGAGCCAGTCCTGGCTAGTGAGAGCCAGTCCTGGCTAGTGAGAGCCAGTCCTGGCTAGTGAGAGCCAGTCCTGACTAGTGAGAGCCTTTCCTGGCTAGTGAGAGCCAGTCCTGGCTAGTGAGAGCCAGTCCTGGCTAGTGAGAGCCAGTCCTGGCTAGTGAGAGCCTTTCCTGGCTAGTGAGAGCCAGTCCTGACTAGTGAGAGCCAGTTCTGACTAGTGAGAGCCAGCAGGGACAATAATAAAGAGAGAAGAGTTAAGAGTAAGGAGTGAAAACCAAGAGCATCTGAGTGATTCTGCGACCCAACAAAAGAGAGTGAGGGAGTGTAAAGTGAAGGAGTGTATAGTGAAGGAGAGTAGAGTGAGAGGGAGAGTTCCCCAAAAACCTCCCTGAAAAAGAGGTCCGCGACTGTCCACAATCTGTCTCCTCTATTACTTGGTGGCCTGGAGTATGCCGGCGGGAGTACCAGGGCGGAGTATCAAGACGAACTCCTTGGAAGACACCAGGAATGAAGGAACAGCAACTGAGAAGCAGGCAAACGAAATAATAAATAAATAAATCCGAATAAATCTGGATGCAGCCAGCGACGAGGGCAGAAGGCAAGTTGTAAAAGCAGACGGGACAAATCTGTCGCTCCTCCTCCCCCTCGTTCAAAGGAACAGGTAGGAATATATTTTGACTTATGTCTATGCACTTGTCTCAAGTGATATTTTGATAAAACAACACTTTTGATAAAGCAGAGTTTTATCCATCAATGCTTCGATAAAGAAGCACTGAGGATAAAACATTACTTTGGATAAAGCAATACTGTAGGTGAGTCAGCTCTGTGGATAAAGCATCACTGTCGATAAAACAACACTGAATACAGCGGCACTGAAAGTACAGCGGCACTGTGAATAAAAGAGCACAGGGGATAAAGCAGCACTGATGATAGAGCAGCATTGTGGTAAAGCAAAACTGGATAAAGCAGCTCCCGAGATAAAGCAGCACTCTAGATAAAGCAGCACACTGGATAAAGCAGCACTGTTGATAAAGAAGCACTAGTGGTAAAACATCACTCTAGATAAACCAACACCGTGGATAAAGCAGCACTGTAGATAAAGCAGCAATGTGGATAAAGCAGCACTGCATAAAGCAGCACTGTGGATAAAGCAGGACTGTTGACAAAATAGCACCGTGGATAAAGCAACACTGTGGATAAAGAACCAGGTCTCCTGAACAACAGATGACTGAGGCTTTGATATAAATGTTTACAGTGCTCGAGTAAATATTTACTAACATAATAGCTACGAGTGCTCCAGGCTTTTTTAATTATTTCCTTCATCTATTGGCTGCTAGCCGACCTGATGTATTATTTTCAGTAAGTATGAAATCTAGTACGCAGATGCTCCGCTTCTGTGGTAGATTCTTATTAAAAGCAGTTGTCACACTGAAACAAATCGTATAACGGCCCAAACTGGACATTCCCTAATGACGGGAATTTGGATAAACGAATCCTGTCTCGATTTAGGATAAATCTTAATAATTTATAAGAACTCCAGTGTTATGGAACACTTCAGACTTCTGAAGGCTATTTAACTTGTGGAGGCAATTTAAATTGTGTTGGCTATTCAACTCGTGCAGAGGTTATACATTTCGGAAAATAAATGTCAAACGCTATTTCCACAGAGCTCATGAGATACTCTGTGGTGCTTCTCAATGTCAGCGCCAAGATTCCTGAAGGGGTTGAAATTGAAAATGTAACATTAGTAGTGTTGCCAGAAAGATTGATCATAGTTGTGCTTGGAGTGATCTGAGACACCCGTCACGCTTGATCAATCGTATGTCGGATAAACCGAACTCTGATCGACCGTCGCTGACTATTAAGCAAGTCTTTCCTTAACACCAGGACTAAACACTAAGCGGAAGACTCGGTCACTGCTTCACTAGCCGCTACTGACGCTGCTTCACTAGCCGCAACTGACACTACTTCACTACCCGCTACTGACACTGCTTCACTAGCCGCTACTGACACTGCTTCACTAGACACTACTAACACTGCTTCACTAGACACTACTGACACTGCTTCACTAGCCACTACTGACACTGCTTCACTAGCCGCTACTGACACTGCTTCACTACCCGCTACTGACACTGCTTCACTAGCCGCTACTGACACTGCTTCACTAGCCGCTACTGACACTGCTTCACTAGCCGCTACTGACACTGCTTCACTACCCGCTACTGACACTGCTTCACTAGCCGCTACTGACACTGCTTCACTAGCCACTACTGACACTGCTTCACTAGCCGCTACTGACACTGCTTCACTACCCGCTACTGACACTGCTTCACTAGCCGCTACTGACACTGCTTCACTACCCGCTACTGACACTGCTTCACTAGCCGCTACTGACACTGCTTCACTAGCCACTACTGACACTGCTTCACTACCCGCTACTGACACTGCTTCACTAGCCACTACTAACATTGCTTCACTAGCCACTACTAACACTGCTTCACTAGCCACTACTAACACTGCTTCACTAGCCACTACTAACACTGCTTCACTAGCCACTACTAACACTGCTTCACTAGCCACTACTAACACTGCTTCACTAGCCACTACTAACACTGCTTCACTAGCCACTACTGACACTGCTTCACTAGCCACTACTGACACTGCTTCACTAGCCACTACTAACACTGCTTCACTAGCCACTACTGACACTGCTTCACTAGCCACTACTAACTCTGCTTCACTAGCCACTACTGACACTGCTTCACTAGCCACTACTAACACTGCTTCACTAGCCACTACTAACACTGCTTCACTAGCTACTACTAACACTGCTTCACTAGCCACTACTGACACTGCTTCACTAGCCACTACTAACACTGCTTCACTAGCCACTACTAACACTGCTTCACTAGCTACTACTAACACTGCTTCACTAGCCACTACTAACACTGCTTCACTAGCCACTACTAACACTGCTTCACTAGCTACTACTAACACTGCTTCACTAGCCACTACTAACACTGCTTCACTAGCCACTACTAACACTGCTTCACTAGCCACTACTAACACTGCTTCACTAGCCACTACTAACACTGCTTCACTAGCCACTACTAACACTGCTTCACTAGCCACTACTAACACTGCTTCACTAGCCACTACTAACACACTTCATGGTTGCGATGATTGTGATGACGCAACAGGCGCTGATCACGAGGCGTTTAGCAGTCAGAGGTGAGTTACATGATCCACCACACTATATTAACTAGACGTCGCCAGTCATCAAACCAAAAACTACTGAGACAAATCAGCATTTTGGGCCACAGGGAATCACCAAGACTGGCTACTAGGAGGTCAAGTTGAACTAGCGGTCATCAAGACAGACGTGACTGCCGTAAAAAAACTTTTTTTTTTTTTTTTTTTTTTTTTATTAACATATTAGGTACATCTGCATTAGTGCAGCTACCCTAGACTATATGAAGTGGAGTACAGTGTGTCAAAAAAGCTAACTAGGTGATGCTCAAAAATCCCCATCACACAGGATGGTTAGTCATACAGAGGCATGTGATAAGCGGTCTGCACTGGCAGACTCCGGATGCATTTTGAGGATATCAACAACACAAGATTGAATAAGGTAGCAGTGGTAATACAAGTCCCCATCTCACAGGATGGTTAGTCATACAGAGCCATGTGTTTAATAGCCTGCACTGGCAAATTTTGGGTATACTGTGAGGATATCTTCAAGAATACGAGAGTAAATAAAGTAATTGCAAAGCTCCAGGTACCTCATGCCAACTGGTCTGAAAGGTCTAATAACTGGGCATTCAGTGATGTAGTGCGGGAGATCATGCCGTAGTTCCTGCTCACAGAGTTTGCAACTGGAGTGCTCAGGATTGGGAGACCCGTCACCTGCAGCCACCTGCCACAGGTAACGGTAACCCAACCTGATCCTTGCAACCACTGTGTCGCACAGTCTAGTGGACGTTTTGTGCTGCCCATAGATGTAGGTTTCAGTTCTGAACAAATCATAGCTTTTTATACTAGTACTTTCAGGTCGTTGGGAGTCAGTAAGTTCTTTCCTATCAGATCTGAATGTTTGGACCAATACAGTTTTGACAGCAGAGATGGGGATACCTAGATCTAATTCAACTTCAAACTTGTTACACGCTAATCGCCCAGAAAGACTAGAAAGTCTACGGATCAAGCAGGCCACGTTTAACTACTAGAGTCTTCGTCCGCCGTCCGCAGGCCAGTTGCTGTTCTCTAACTCACAACACTCTTAAGATCATTTAGGACACATCAATATGACTGGGAACCCCAGCAAAACTCCAGTCTTAAGAGTACTTTTTGCATCCCTGCTTTTGAATTGCTTAGTTTTGTAGTTTCTTGCATGCCTATTCGTGTGCAAATTTGGAACATGTCCCTCTAATATTTTACAGATGTAAGTTGAATTTCTCTCTCTCTCTCTCTCTCTCTCTCTCTCTCTCTCTCTCTCTCTCTCTCTCTCTCTCTCTCTCTCTCTCTCTCTCTCTCTCTCTCTCTCTCTCTCTCTCTCTCTCTCTCTCTCTCTCTCTCTCTCTCTCTCTCTCTCTCTCTCTCTCTCTCTCTCTCTCTCTCTCTCTCTCTCTCTCTCTCTCTCTCTCTCTCTCTCTCTCTCTCTCTCTCTCTCTCTCTCTCTCTCCCTGCCTCCGAAAGAATAGAGTTTTAGAATTTATGTCCATTGCCAGCAACTGCGCTGTTTTACTTAACAAATTCGAGCAGTAAATATTATCAGTTCATTTTCATTGGAAGAAATATATAGCTTGACTTAAAACGAAGAATTTAATGAACAACAGTAATTCACCCATGAGAGAACAAGTGGGTTAAGAGGTGTTACTACTGGCTTGCCATCTAATTGTGACTAATTAATTGATGGTGATATTTAAACGCAAGATCTTACGAGGTGATTACCCAGATCTTTCATGTTACTTCTAGCTGTATAGCTTGCCGAGACTGTGTCTTGTATAACATTCAAATATCTATGTATGCGTTTTCCTTCCATTACTCATTAAAAATCATTTGTCGTCGCAAAAGAAAATAACACTGCACTACAATTTGTCTATGTCAAAATCAGACATGGGAATGAGTTAATTACAGCAAGTACAGTACCCTATACAGTGTTTTTGTTTTAGAGTTAAGACTCCTGATTTTTCTTTGGTAACTACTACTCTTTGGGAAAGATTTCTTGCGAAAATTTCAATTCTACATTCCAACTTTTCCAGTCATAGATTTCATGAACATATGTGATATTATGCCAGAGTTACAATTGTCGAAGTCTTTCATAAAGGCTGATGAGCGAAGACAAGGAAGCAGTCAGGATGTTGAGCTCTACCTGGCTACGACCAGGACTAGGCCACGTGACATGGTGTGGATATCCCTCAGGAACATGTGCATCAGTGTGCATATCCCTCAGGAACATGTGCCTCAGTGTTGATATCCCTCAGGAACATGTGCCTCAGTGTGGATAACCCATCAGGAACATGTGCCTCAGTGTGGATAACCCATCAGGAACTTGTGCCTCAGATTGGATATCCCACCAGGAACATGTACCGCTGAGTGGATATCCCACCAGGAACCTGTGTCTCAGTGTGGATATCCCACCAGGAACATGTGCCTCAGTATGGATATCGTTCCAGGAACATGTACCGCTGTGTGGATATCCCACCAGGAACATATGTCTCAGTGTGGATAACCCACCAGGAACACAGCAAAACAAGCGTGTCCTGTGAGACAGGGGGAAGCTTCACCCAGCAGTTAAGCAACCATTGTGAACTTGTCCATCTTTTCTCAATATTCGGTGGTTTTGTTTACGTTTATTAAACAGTTTGCGAGCATCGAAACTTCCCAGTAAATTATTATTATTGTTGTTATAAACAGCCTCCTGGAGCTTCGGAGCTCATAAACTATTTAATAAATCTAAACAAAGCCGCCAAAGACTGAGAAAAGATGAAGGGGTTCGTAAGTAGCTGCGGAAACTGCTTAATGGATCCAGACTCTGGGCTCTGACCTCTGGCCCGGAGGACTGAACAACGAAGGATTGCCGATGGAGCCAGACTTCGTCACGCTAAAAAAGGAAAAGTTGCAAGTAGACAGAATCATAACATGTGTTATTCTTAGAGACATGAATAGAAGAAAACTGATTTTTAGCATAAATATAAGAAGGGTGAGCGGCATACTGGAGCCGGTGGCTGAGCAGACAGATCACTGGACGCGTGATCCTGTGGTCCCGGGTACGATCCCGGCACCGGCGAGAAACAATGGGCAGAGTTTCTTTAACCCTGATGCCCTTGTTACCTAGCAATAAATAGGTACCTGGGAGTCAGTCTGCTGTCATGGGCTTCTTCCTGGGGGTGGAGGCCTGGTCAAGGACCGGGCCGTGGGGACACTAAGCTTCGAAATCCTCTCAAGATATCTCAAGATATGGGTAGAAACTACAACTTTAGATGAGTTACAGGCATATAAGAAAGTACTTCTTCACAGTAAGAGTAGTGAGCAAGTGGAATAAGCTGATAAGGAAGAGAATTGAAGCCAATTCCATAAATGATATCAGGAGTAAAAAGTAACACAATGTAACAATTTTGGTTCATAGTAGTAAGTGCCATTTTCCTATTACATACGCCCACCCCCACCCCCCCCCCACAAAAAAAAATAACAAATGGCTAACATTCCAATCAAAGCTTGCTATAACCTTTACCTAAGAGCATCTAGGGAAGACGTTCTGAAGTTACTTAAAGATTGTCAATTCCTTAGCTAGAGCTGCGGTCTGCATGGACCTTCAAGACGTCTGCCCTAAGCTATCTTATACAAGGGCCAGAGCCACGTCTGAGTGGGATAACGGACATGTCTCTATGCTTCACAGACATAAACTATCAGAACGCAACACTTACCATACTGGAACAAAAACAAAGGTAGACAGGGTAATAAAACACGACACTTACCATACTGGAACAAAAACAAAGGTACACGGGGTAATAAAACACGACACTTACCATACTGGAACAAAAACAAAGGTACACGGGGTAATAAAACACGAGAGTCGGGAGCCAATGCTCTGTGTACCAGATAAATCAAGTAGGAGACAGCTGTAACGCGCCATGCAAGCATATACACGTGAATATTACTGACGAACACACACACACACGCACACATTCACACTCACACACACACACACACACACACACACACACGCACACACACACACACACACATTCACACTCACACACACACACACACACACACACACACACACACACACACACACACACACACACACACACACACACACACACACACACACACACACACACACACACACACACAGGAGAGATGGGAGAGGAGGAGGTGGTGTAGCTTTGCTACTAAGAGAAGATTGGAGTTTCGAAGAGATGGTAATTCAGAACTGTGAAGGTTTCAGTGACTACATATCAGGCACC